TGTGTGTCCAAAGGTTCGACCTGTCAGACAGGACCGTGTGTGTCCAACCTCCTGTCAGCAGAGATGCACTGAAGCAGACCGTGGTTACACATGTCATGGTAAGAGCTGTTTCTGGTTCTGATGGGACATTATCTCTGTTCACCCCAGTCCAAATCAGCATGCCTCATCGGTGGCAGAGTGAGAGGCAATCTTACCAGGCAATCAAGAGAAATGATTAACACTTAGGGGCCTGACAGATTTCTTATTTGCAACATTTCTAGACTCATTTAGTTTGTTTCCAGCTCAGAGTTCGGCCTGCGAGCCTCTCACTACACATCCATGTGTCTGTCTTACATGCTGTGCTGCAAACCGTACACACTGGGATGTAGCTGCTCTGCCATCGAGTTCAATTAAACACCTGAGTGCTCTCATGGAGATGGAAACCAGGCTGCTTTTTGCAGGTGAGCGTCTTGCTGTGAATCAGGACAAAACAAAGGTGAGATGTTGCGATTGCTTTGGACGAAGACTGATCCGACTCGGCGTCTTCGTGGACGTACTGGAAGGCAGAGCACCGATCTCACATGTGGGAACAGCACCTGGTTGTTCAGGTTCAGGTGAGTGACACATCACCAAACACATCAGCTCCATGAACGAGAACGTGAAGCTCATCATGGATGTAGTGGACTAGGCCCATGTCAAAAACTAAGTCTAAGGTCAAAACTCTTGACCTTTAGAACCTTGTGGGACAGGAACTGTCATTTCATTCATTTGAACTCAGAAATACAGGTTCACCCATCCTGAGACTTTCTTTCTTGAAGATTCAAGTGAAAAGAACACTCTCTTTTTATTATCATTACTATTTTACAAATGTTGATAATCAAAGTGTCTTAGTTCAAACCATTTTAGATGTTGCAGTGCACTAATCAATTTTATTAACTGTGTAATGATTTTTATTCTCATGTCAAAGCTGTTACAGAATAATTATGCATTTTCTGATTTCTGCCTTTGAGTGAGCAAGTGTGCGTTTCCAAGGTTGGAGTCAAACGAAAAACAAGTTGTTGAACGAACTGTCATGTTTTTAGAATCCTCTCAGACGTAAATAGAGAAGTTTTAGCACCTGTTTCTGAAACGCGCCAAAACAAAACTCTCTCTGTCTGTGAGAACATTTCTGATCTGTTTCATAACAATTCTCGCTGTCTCTAACCTCTTACGTCACAAAACACACCCCGTCTGGTCGTTTCTGACCAATGAACAAATCCCAAAAGTGAACCGGGAAACAGCTCTTTAAAATGTCAGTACTTCCTG